TATAGTCACGGGTACCATTTGGCCAATAACTGTCTTTAACTGAGCCTTAGATATTGTCTACTTTGCTCTTGGATAACTGTCATGCAGACTACTGGATACACACAATTACACGCATTGTGCAACCATGACGCCGTAATAATTGAGAACACTTACCCCATTGAAGGGAGAATGCACTGAATTCCGAACCCATATAAATCCTATTCATCGACTTCTACCACGAGCACACTAGTTATACCTGAAAATAGGAAAACAGGCCTCGTCATTATCGTAGAATCTAATGACGCAGGACTTATCCAAAAATAATGCCGTGCGTCAGAGCACTGGATTAGAGGACAGTTTTCTTGAACCCACCTAGACGCTGCCACCAAGGTGGTGGATCTGTTGACGAAAATTATTACTGTTTGCGGTTGGAAGTTACTTTCAGAGCAAAACCAGGGCCGAAATCGCCTCACTAGACTTTCCATAGGCGGGAAATGACTTGTAGCCAGGTATAGATCAACGACCGGTATTGCTGTCGAAAAATTGACAGGTTTCTTGATACAACGCAGGTCAATTATGACGTTCGAAAGAGGTATAGATAGAAGTTGTACCATTTGGGATGGTTTATTAGAGTAAAACATAGGAGCGGGACACCAGAAAGTTCAGTTAAGTGAATATTGACCGGCTAGTTAAATGAAATCTAGTGGTGCAATTATTTGAGAAGCGGTTGGAGGATAAGGTAAAACAGGTTTACAAGTGTCAATAAATATTAGTGGGAGAAGACTAATGGCTCATTTTACGCGCACGCCAAGTCAGATTTAAGAAAAATCTGTCCTTGTGTTAAAAAGAAGCAAAGCAGGCAAGTCCCAATTAAAAGCTTTATTTAATCAGATAAACTACTCATCATCTGCACCATCATCGTCCCCATCACCTCCAGAAGCAGCTAAACGCTGCTTTTTTCGTTTGACTCTGCCAGGGCGACCGCCACCATGAGGAGACTTTAAGCTAAAGTCGATGTGCTTGCCAGAATCTAGCCTCACCATGAAGCTAGGCACGTTGACCATTTGTTTCCTAACCCGGATATGACGTTGTCTTATCAGAACACGAGCGTGATGTATACTTTTAGCGAGACCTTTCTTAAATATATGCGACTGAAGTCTGCGATCAAGAAAATCCTCAATTTTGAGACCAAGGACAAAATCAAGTTTCATTTTATCCTCGGGCAAAACGCCAACTCGTACAAGTCTGCGAAGTAGGGCGGAACCTGAAATCTACTTTAAGAAGAAACACATACCACCAAAAAGCCTCTTCGGGTCTTTTTCATCGAGAGTAAGAAGTTCCCGAGCTGCCTTGCGTATCTTAGCGAGTACTAGTTTAACGCGCCAGACCTCACGCTTGTTTCTTAATCCATAACTACCTATTAGTTTAAGTTCTTGATCTAAACGTTCTTTTTCATAAGGGCGCCTGGGAGTAGAGCAAGTCTTGTTAAATACTTTGGGCACTCTGCTCATCGCAGCGAGAGAATAAAAAAGGGCGGGTACAAGTGCGTGAGCGTGGAATGCAGATGTGCAAAAGAATTTAACAAATAATTGATATTTATTGTCAATACTTTAACAGTACTAAATAAAAAATAGAATATTGTATATAAAAATAAATATCTACTTTAGGTATCCATTATGTAAAATTAAGGATGGCTAAATAAATCAGACACTGGGTTTCAATGAATCTCCTGAGATAAAATAATTTGGGGGACTTTCATTTCGTATGAAAGTGCATGAAGAAGAGATTCGTTGGTTGATATCACCAGATAAGGACAAATAAATCCCGTTATACTGCAGCAGTTTGGCAGTCCATGAGGCTTCCTCACTCGTTTCGAGTGAGAACGTGGTGAGCTTTCGTCCATCATTTGATGGGAATCATTAGAGCTGGATGTTATTCTTGCAAAAATCTCACGTTAACACTAGGGCAAGAACACTATCCGGCTTTAAATTACCTTTTATATAGACTCAACTAAACCAAACGAAAATTAAAAATCTAGATAGATCGACATGGAGTGGTTTGGATAATTATCTTTCATACTGGTCCTGTCATTTTTGCTTAGCACGTTTTCATCTGAAACGAGGGGAGAAGTCTCGTGGACTGCGTCAACATGATAATCGTATAAAAGCCAAACAGCTGCCTTATAACGGAATATATCCGTACTTATCTGGTTATATAGACCAACGAATCTCTTGTTCCTATACTTTCATACGGGATAAAAGCCCCCCGAATAAATAAATTAAGATGCAAAAGTATACATTTGTAATAAACACATTGTACATATCATCCATGCAACTTGAATACTCTGAATATAAGCTAAATTATCTGAGAAGGACCCACAGCCCTGATCTAGCTGCTTTTTTACATAAACATTTATGTGATCAATCTCATATTATTGTTCAGCCAGGCTGTCTGCATTAATCTCACATTTTAAAAAAATTTTTTGTCATGCTCACAAATTATCAAATTCCTGACATTTTGTGACATCTGGTCATTCATACAATGCCAGTTTAAAAATCGTGCTAAGTGAGAAACCTGCCAAAATCCTTTCTAAATCTATCCTTACTATCATTTAGCAAAAATATCCTACATCTCTTAGTCTCATAGCTTTTCTCTGATTTCTGGATGGAGGCGTGATAAAGAATTTCATAAACTCTGTCCGAATGACAATTCTTTATTAGGTTGTAGAGAATGGGAGCGATATCATAATATTTGCAACAATTCTAAGATTTCCAATTGGATGATTAATTTATAATAGTCTTTTATGTTCGGTTGTAATCAGTGCATTATTTGGCGATCTTTCTTCTATTGTTTAATCGAATATATGAAGACCAAGATGGTGTGCCTGGAAAATTTTGGTTAAGACCAATTATCCAGGATGGTTGGTTGACAATTATTTTAGAAAAATGTCAAATGAAATGAAGGGAAATACATATTTTGATATAGATAAAAGATATATCATTCTACCAGGATCCCTATGCTGTCATCATGTAATCTGTCGAAGAAGATAGGCGAATTGCTGAGGAGGTGGGAAATCAGGAACATTATCTATAAAGAAAAGAACACTTTCATTAGTATTGCCTTCTTTTCGAGAATCCTCTGACTCGCCTTTCAGATCATTCTGTCACAATATTTCATGTGGTAGTGCCTATCTGGGAGAGACCTGTAGACCTATACATAAGATAGTATTCGAAAACAAAACAGCCCGCAATTGTATGTGGATCCAAAAGTCGGAATTAACCGAAAACATGGCTCGCACAAGACACCAGACAGATTGGCCAAATGCCAAACGCTTAGCTGGATATGAAGACTATACGAGTAAGCGAAAGATTAGGAATACGATAGAAATAAAAAAATAGCCAACACTCTGAATAGAAAGAATGAGTTTAGAAAGTTAAGCAGAA